CGTGGTGCATCGTGGTGCATCGTGGTGCATTTCAAATGCACCACGATGCACCATGCTAACCCGGATTTTTGCGTATGTCCGGGTTGGCATGGTGCACTGTTAAATCATAGCAATCGGACCAATCAAATTTCACATGTGATGTTGCCTACTGTACAGTATGCCTTTGTTTGTCATCAACCACACGTCAGCCTATCATCAACAAAACGTCTGCGCCATAGTGTTTTCATCTTGTCTACTGTAGGATTCTTTGGCTGCTTTCAGGGTCTTTGGCTTGCTGGATCTATCGTGTGTTCTGATGAGAGTGAATCTATAGTCAGCACTCCCCTCTGCTGCCCGACAAGCCATGGTCTTCCTCATTTCCAAAACAGTACAAGATGAGCGTCTCTATGGCATTGCAATCCAGTGCCTTGCCACCATTTACCTCCAGATCTGCTCAAACAAGCCAGAGTTTGAGAAGAAGATGTCTGATTACTTCACAGCCAGAAAGGTAAGAACAAACGCCTGGATTTATGAGTCCGGATCTCACTGTTGTCTTGATCTCACTTTTATTTCTGGCACTGTTGTCTTAGGCACTGACAGAGAATGATGAAGGCTGGAGAAGTCGCAACAACCGCAGACACTGGAACTACTACCCTTTAAGTATTGTTAACTATTATATTTGAGAAGTGTTGCCAACTTAGCCTATCATTAGCCTTGCTGCCCAATGTATCTTTTGTTTGGACTATTGATCCGACCCGTCCTCTTTGAACAAAAAAATGTGGAGAGCACAGCAAGTTGCTTAGCCATATTCTGTTGCAAACTTCAATGACATGTAGGGGGGTTCCTGTCTTGAGGATGCGGAAGCGCCCTTTCATTATACCAAAGGTACAGCACTCAACATCTCTCCTCATACTTTCGAGCCACCTGCTGAAACGCATCTCAGAGTACGTGGTCCACAGTTTCATGGGAGGCACTAACACTGACCACCAAAGATATCCATTGTCAACGATAGTCCAGGGTTAGGGTTAGGTCTGGGTGATCCACCTCCTGCTTGGCGATCAGCTCGCAAATGGTCCATATATCAAGATTGTCTTGCTCTGACTCCTCATTTTCCCTATGTCTTCGGTATTGCAAGTACAACAATGGGTCGATATGTCCTGTAGTCAGGTCAATACAGCTAATAACCCGTGTTGGAGGGCCATAGGGTTGGGCATTGCCCATGATCCATGATGCCTTGGATCGGAGTTTTTTTGTGTGATCAAATCCTGGTTGGTTGGGACCCCGAAATCCAACCAACCAGAGGATCCGCGTTGGCTAGATTTTCAGTTTCCAAACTTCCCGGAACAGAGGTGGTCTATAGGGATTGGTAGGAAATCTACGTTGGTACAGGTTTTTTCATACATAATTTCCTGTTTCACGTTCGTGATTTTTGACCGTGTGGACCAGCCTAAGACAAAAACGAATGATCGACTCCTATTTTAAAATAACTCAAAATTTTTAAAATTGGGATGACATGTATTGTACATTGATAGATTTCGAAACATATGTACGTGTTTTTGCAATGGATTGCTCATTGCTTTTGTTGATTATACTGATGGATACATTGCTTGAATGGCTTGGAATGTTGTTTCAGAAGAATTACTTCTTGATTCCGCCCAAGCCGCCGTAGCAAGGTCCGCAATAATCCTTGGGATAGTATGATAGTACGTCAGTATCTTCTTCTGACACACAAAAAGTCTGGAAGCCATTTCTAGGAGAATAATGGCAAATATGAACGCTTTTGCCGCTATCCCCACAAGGGAAATCATCTTTTGAGCAGTAATGAGACTCCATTTCAGGTGCTCTCTTCTTCTCCTCGAGTAGCGCCATGTCTGATAGAGAGCGAGACTGACCGCTTCCCTGGCAACTTGAGCTGCAAGGTACAATGAACCTATACTTGGCAACGTTTTTGTCATTGCTCGTCCACTCGTTACATGCACCAGGATTCTTGTTCTCGGCAGTAGAGAAGCTTGCATGATCATCTGATACAAAGAGTGTGAGAACAGCAAAACCATCGATAGGATCACACTGCAGTTGGGTTTCAAAGAAGTCTTCTTGGCAGAGTGACTCTTGTCTGCCACACACTTGTCTTTCGTTAACATCGTCCGCAACAAAGGCAACCCAATCAATTTGCCCCCCGGTGCAATCTCCGTTTGAGACCAAGGTAGATGAAGTATCAAACAATTGCTGGAATCGCACAGTAACAACCCCATTTAATTCATCTAGCTTGACGATTTCAGGAACCGCATTTTCGGGCCATTCAACATCAGGTTCTTCATATTCCAGTTCAACCTCACATCCAGGAGAGGAAAACAAAGCTGTGCTTATGGACTCAGTTCCGGTTGTTGGGGCATCAGTTGGGTTTGCTGTAGGAACTTCTGTTGGCGATGCTGTTGGTCCAGACGTTGGTGCAAACGTAGGACTGTTAGTAGGTCCAGAGGTCGGTGCAAATGTTGGACTGCTAGTAGGCCCAAAGGTGGGCAAATCTTCCGTTCTGGCTGTTGGTCCACTGCTGGGTCCGCTGGTTGGCCCAGAAGTGGGGTCAGATGTTGGTGCGAATGTAGGTCCAGAGGTTGGAATTGGTGTAGGAGAAGAAGTTGGACCACTAGTTGGTTCTGGGGTGGGTTCCCTTGTCGGAGCCGAGGTAGGTCCGATAGTTGGTCCAAAGGTAGGTCCACTTGTAGGACCAAATGTAGGGCCGCTGGTGGGTCCAGCCGTGGGTTCCGCAGTAGGATGTAGAGAGGTTGCTCCAATAGTGGGCCCGCTTGTTGGACCAGACGTGGGGCCAGATGTTGGACCTGATGTAGGCCCACTACTTGGGGCAAATGTTGGACTAGAAGTTGGTCCACTGGTAGGTTCTCTAGTAGGTGCACTAGTTGGTGCCAAAGTAGGACTGTTGGTTGGCCCAGATGTTGGTTTAGTTGTTGGATCAGAAGTAGGCCTGTTTGTGGGTCCCATAGTCGGTCCCATAGTGGGAGGTACTGACGTTGGACTGCTAGTTGGACTGCTTGTTGGAAACTTTGTTGGAAACTTTGTTGGACCACTGGTTGGACTGCTGGTTGGTTCACTTGTTCGTCCAATCGTTGGTTGAGATGTGGGGCCAGATGTAGGCCCAGATGTAGGTCCGCGAGTTGGTGCAAATGTAGGACTAGAAGTAGGTCCAGAAGTGGGCCCAATAGTGGGCCTAGTAGTAGGCACCAAGGATGGACCAGAGGTGGGCCCAACTGTAGGTGGAGTTGTTGGCTTCATAGTGGGTTGCACTGTTGGACCAGCGGTTGGGCCAGCTGTCACTCCAGCTGTTGGTCCAGTTGTCGGTAGCGACGTAGGGCCACCTGTGGGTGCGCTGGTTGGCCCGGAAGTAGGAAGAGAAGTAGGTCCACCAGTAGGTGCGAAAGTTGGGCTCGATGTAGGGCCAATTGTGGGACTAATGGTAGGTTGCGAGGTTGGACCAAATGTCGATCCACTACTTGGACCGGATGTAGGCCCGCTTGTAGGCCCGCTTGTAGGCCCGCTTGTTGGTCCACTTGTCGGTCCGGATGTAGGTTCGCTTGTTGGACCAGATGTAGGACCGTGGGTAGGTCTGAGTGTTGGTCTCAAAGTAGGGCCAGCTGATGGTCCACTTGTTGGCCCAGATGTGGGTGCAGATGTGGGACCCGATGAAGGAATAGATGTAGGTCCGCTGGTAGGTGCAAACGTGGGGCTAGTAGTAGGTCCACTGGTTGGTCGATTTGTTGGTCCACTTGTTGGCTGAGCTGTTGGTCCAGACGTTGGGTTGGATGTAGGCCCAATAGTGGGTCCTACAGTAGGAGGTTCAGACGTAGGACCAGAAGTTGGTACGCCCGTGGGGGACAATGTGGGACCACTGGTTGGCGCAGACGTGGGTCTACTTGTTGGTCCAGAGGTGGGACCGGTGGTTGGGCCAACTGTTGGAGCAATTGTAGGATGAATTGATGGACCAGCGGTTGGCCCGCTTGTTGGCCCTGATGTTGGTCCAATGGTAGGTCCACTTGTTGGACCTGATGTAGGTCCTGATGTAGGCCCTGAGGTAGGCACAATTGTTGGACCTGAAGTTGGTCCTGATGTAGGTCCATTGGTAGGACCAACAGTAGGATAAGAAGTTGGACCTGATGTCGGTCCCAACGTCGGTAGAGATGTTGGTCCACCAGTTGGTGCGTTTGTAGGGGGAGAGGTTGGGCTAGGTGTAGGTCCACTTGTGGGTCCTGTGGTTGGTCCGATTGTTGGACCAGATGTCGGACCAGTTGTAGGTCCAATGGTTGGTCCTGATGTAGGCCCGGAGGTTGGTTGCGATGTTGGTCCACTTGTAGGACCAGATGTAGGACCGTTTGTGGGTCCTACAGTAGGCCCAGCACTAGGTCCAGACGTTGGACCGCTAGTTGGTCCAAATGTTGGACCAGATGTGGGGCCAGACGTTGGGCCGGATGTAGGTCCGCTTGTGGGGGCAAATGTTGGACTAGATGTTGGTCCGCTGGTAGGTGCACTAGTTGGTCCCAATGTTGGTCCACTTGTGGGAGCAGAGGTAGGACTGCCAGTTGGCGCTGACGTGGGTCCACTTGTTGGGCCAGAGGTAGGATTGGTGGTCGGATCAGCTGTGGGCGCCACTGAAGGTTGAATTGTTGGACCAGCGGTTGGCCCGCTAGTTGGCAGTGATGTGGGTCTACTTGTTGGTCCAGATGTCGGTCCAGTTGTTGGTCCAATTGTTGGACCACTGGTAGGTCCGGTAGTTGGAGCAGCTGTAGGATGAGATGTTGGACCTGAAGTTGGTCCTGACGTAGGCCCAATTGTGGGACCTGATGTTGGTCCTGATGTAGGTCCATTGGTAGGACCAACGGTAGGATAAGAAGTTGGACCTGATGTCGGTCCCGAGGTTGGAAGAGAAGTTGGTCCACCAGTTGGTTTGTCCGTTGGGGGAGAAGTTGGGCCAGATGTAGGTCCGCTTGTTGGTGTCAATGTTGGACCAGATGTAGGACCACTTGTTGGTCCTGTGGTTGGTCCGATTGTTGGACCAGATGTAGGACCAGTTGTTGGACCAGTTGTTGGACCAGGGGTAGGTCCAATGGTTGGTCCTGATGTAGGCCCGGAGGTTGGTCCATTTGTAGGACCAGATGTAGGACCGTTTGTGGGTCCTACAGTAGGCCCAGCACTAGGTCCAGACGTTGGACTGCTAGTTGGTCCAAATGTTGGACCAGATGTGGGGCCAGACGTTGGGCGGGATGTAGGTCCGCTTGTGGGGGCAAATGTTGGACTAGATGTTGGTCCGCTGGTAGGTGCACTAGTTGGTCCCAATGTTGGTCCATTTGTGGGAGTGGAGGTAGGACTGCCAGTTGGCGCTGACGTAGGTCCACTTGTTGGGCCAGAGGTAGGATTGATGGTTGGATTAGCTGTGGGCGCCATTGTAGGTTGAGTTGTTGGACCAGCTGTTGGTCCATTTGTTGGCAGTGATGAGGGGCCGGATGATGGGCCACTGGTAGGTCTATTTGTGGGTCCTGATGTAGGTGCAGAGGTGGGTCCACTGGTTGGTCTTAGTGTAGGCCCAATTGTGGGACCTGAAGTTGGTCCTGATGTAGGTCCATTGGTAGGACCAACAGTAGGATAAGAAGTTGGACCTGATGTCGGTCCCGACGTTGGTAGAGATGTTGGTCCACCAGTTGGTGCGTTTGTAGGGGGAGAGGTTGGGCTAGGTGTAGGTCCACTTGTGGGTCCTGTGGTTGGTCCAATTGTTGGACCAGATGTCGGACCAGTCGTAGGTCCATTGGTTGGTCCTGATGTAGGCCCGGAGGTTGGTTGCGATGTTGGTCCACTTGTAGGACCAGATGTAGGACCGTTTGTGGGTCCTACAGTAGGCCCAGCACTAGGTCCAGACGTTGGACCGCTAGTTGGTCCAAATGTTGGACCAGATGTGGGGCCAGACGTTGGGCCGGATGTAGGTCCGCTTGTGGGGGCAAATGTTGGACTAGATGTTGGTCCGCTGGTAGGTGCACTAGTTGGTCCCAATGTTGGTCCACTTGTGGGAGCAGAGGTAGGACTGCCAGTTGGCGCTGACGTGGGTCCACTTGTTGGGCCAGAGGTAGGATTGGTGGTCGGATCAGCTGTGGGCGCCACTGAAGGTTGAATTGTTGGACCAGCGGTTGGCCCGCTAGTTGGCAGTGATGTGGGTCTACTTGTTGGTCCAGATGTCGGTCCAGTTGTTGGTCCAATTGTTGGACCACTGGTAGGTCCGGTAGTTGGAGCAGCTGTAGGATGAGATGTTGGACCTGAAGTTGGTCCTGACGTAGGCCCAATTGTGGGACCTGATGTTGGTCCTGATGTAGGTCCATTGGTAGGACCAACGGTAGGATAAGAAGTTGGACCTGATGTCGGTCCCGAGGTTGGAAGAGAAGTTGGTCCACCAGTTGGTTTGTCCGTTGGGGGAGAAGTTGGGCCAGATGTAGGTCCGCTTGTTGGTGTCAATGTTGGACCAGATGTAGGACCAGATGTCGGACCAGTCGTAGGTCCATTGGTTGGTCCTGATGTAGGCCCGGAGGTTGGTCGCGATGTTGGTCCACTCGTAGGACCAGATGTAGGACTGTTTGTGGGTCCTACAGTAGGCCCAGCACTAGGTCCAGACGTTGGACCGCTAGTTGGTCCAAATGTTGGACCAGATGTGGGGCCAGACGTTGGGCGGGATGTAGGTCCGCTTGTGGGGGAAAATGTTGGACCAGAAGTGGGTCCGCTTGTCGGTGCATTAGTGGGTCCCAATGTTGGACCACTTGTTGGAGCCAAGGTAGGACCTCTAGTTGGCGCTGATGTGGGTCCACTTGTTGGACCGATGGTTGGTGCCACCGTAGGTTGAGATGTTGGACTACTTGTTGGTGCTGAGGTTGGTCCACTTGATGGTCCACTCGTAGGTCCACTGGTTGGTTTAACTGTAGGGCGACTTGTTGGACCAGGTGTTGGCTCTGATGTAGGTCCACTTGTTGGACCTGAAGTTGGTCCCGCTGTAGGTCCATTGGTAGGACCAAATGTAGGATAAGACGTTGGACCTGATGTAGGTCCGGATGTTGGTAGAGAAGTTGGTCCACCAGTTGGTCCGTTGGTTGGGGGAGAGGTTGGACCAGATGTTGGACCTGATGTAGGTCCACTTGTGGGTCCTGTGGTTGGTCCGATTGTTGGACCAGATGTAGGCCCGGAGGTTGGTTGCGATGTTGGTCCACTTGTAGGACCAGAAGTAGGACCGTTTGTGGGTCCTACAGTAGGTACAGAAGTAGGTTGAGATGTCGGCTCATTCGTGGGTCCACTTGTTGGCGGAGCCGTTGGTCTAGAAGTTGGGCTGGATGTAGGTCCAATAGTGGGTTCTGCTGTAGGGTCAGTCGTTGGACCAGAAGTTGGTGCGCTTGTTGGGGGAGATGTTGGATCACTCGTTGGTTCAGATGTAGGACCACTGGTCGGACCAACTGTTGGGGCCATTGTAGGTTGGGATGTTGGACCGATTGTTGGCCCACTGGTAGGTCCACTGGTTGGCGCACTGGTAGGTCCACTTGTTGGCTCTTGTGTTGGTCCAGAAGTAAGTGAGGATGTTGGTCCTGATGTAGGTCCATTAGTCGGACCAATGGTAGGATAAGACGTTGGGCCTGATGTTGGTCCAGATGTGGGTAGTGAAGTTGGTCCGCCCGTTGGTCTGTCCGTTGGAGCTAATGTTGGGCCAGATGTAGGTCGACTTGTTGGCGGCAATGTTGGACCAGATGTAGGACCACTTGTTAGAGCAGAGGTAGGTGCACTAGTTGGTCTCGATGTGGGTCCAGAAGTTGGTCCAGAAGTTGGTCTAAATGTGGTTCCAAATGTTGGGGTGCTTGTCGGACCAGAAGTAGGACCGTTTGTTGGTCCTACGGTAGGTACAGCAGTAGGCTGAGATGTTGGCGCATTCGTTGGTCCATTTGTTGGCCGAGCTGTTGGCCCAGACGTCGGACCGGATGTAGGTCCGCTAGTGGGTTCTACAGTAGGCTCAAACGTTGGACCAGAAGTCGGTGTGCTTGTTGGGGAAGACGTTGAACCGCTAGTTGGCAGTGACGTGGGTCCACTTGTTGGGCCAGAGGTAGGACCGATGGTTGGACCAGCCGTTGGGGCCACAGTAGGATGAGATGTGGGATTACTAGTTGGTCCTGATGTAGGGCTAGACGTTGGACCTGATGAAGGTGGTGAAGTTGGTGCATTGGTAGGCATGGTGGTTGGCCGTGAGGTTGGTGCATTAGTGGTCACAGAGGTAGGTCCTCTTGTCAGACCGGATGTTGGTCCTGATGTAGGTCCATTTGTTGGACCAATTATAGGTTGCCATGTTGGACCAGATGTAGGTAGCAAAGTAGGTCCACCTGTTGGACCATCTATTGGGGCAGTTGTGGGGCCAGATGTAGGTCCACTTGTTGGTTTCGAGGTTGGGCCAGGTGTAGGTCTACTCGTTGGTCCAGTCGTTGGCTCAGAGGTCGGTCCACTAGTTGGTCCAGCTGTAGGTCCAAAAGTAGGTCCGATTGATGGTCCAGACGTTGGACTACTGGTTGGGTGTACAGTTGGTGGCACACTTGGGCTATAGGTTGGTCCATCGGTTGGTCCGCTAGTTGGCCCATATGTTGGATCGGATGTAGGTATTGCTGTGGGTGTAGTTGTAGGCGTCGGTGATGGTGCAGATGTTGGTCCTTTTGTTGGCTCACTTGAAGGCTCGCTTGTTGGTGACGATGTAGGGCCAGCAGTTGGATCGGATGTTGGATATGAAGTTGGACCTGCTGTCGGAAGTGATGAAGGACTCAATGAGGGAACAGGAGTTGGGACTGAACTTGGACCGCTTGTAGGGCGAAAGCTTGGGATAGAAGTGGGATTCGGCATTGGTCCAGAAGTTGGTGTTGAACTAGGACCTGATGTGGGTCCAGAAGTAGGTCCAGAATTCGGCCCTGAAGTGGGTCCTGATGTTGACCCTGATGTTGGCCCCGACGTTGGTATTGAAGTCGGAGACTCTGTAGCAACAGATGGACTAGGTGTTGTGACTGTGGGGTGCCCTGAGGTCATCGCTGTAGGATTTGGCGTAGGTTCAGAAGCCAGTTGGGAACTGGGATTTGGTGACGGCCCCGAAGTTGGACCAGATGTGGGCCATGCTGTGGGACTACTAGTTGGTCCAGAAGTTGGAATCGGCGTTGGGCGCGACGTAGGAAGAGATGTTGGACTACTAGATGGCCCAACTGTTGGTCTTTCCGTTGGTGTGGATGTAGGATCTGATGTAGGGTGAGATGTAGGACCTGAAGTGGGTCTAGATGTAGGCCTCCCAGTCGGTAACAATGTAAGTCGTGAAGTTGGCCCAGATGTGGGATTTGAAGTTACAGTCCTGGATGGCCCAGGTGTAGGTCCAGAAGTAGGTCCAGAAGTAGGTCTTGAAGTGGGACCGGATGAAGGGCCAGCTGTGGGTCCACGTGTAGGGCCAAAAGTCGGCTCCGGTGTTGGTAGCTGAGACGGCTTTGAAGTTGGGCGACCAGTCGGACCTGTTGTCGGTCTAGATGTTAGTCTAGATGTAGGACTAGATGTGGGACTAGATGTAGGACCCAAAGTTGGACCCGATGATGGTCCAGATGTCGGGTTGCTAGTAGGCCCCAATGATGGTTCATCAGTAGGACTTGGCGTCTCCTTGAAAGTCGGTTTGATACTGGAAGGTGGAGTTTCAACTGTCGGGTGACCAGAGAATAATTCCGATCGTCCAGTTGTGGGATATAGGGATGGCACTTCTGTTGGGCTCAACGTGGGACCCGCTGTAGGTCTTGATGTGGGATTGCTAGATGGGATCTTTGTTGGACCAGACGTAGGCCCTGATGTTGGAGCCGAGGATGGAGACGGTGTTGGACCACTAGTTGGTCTACTTGTTGGATAGCCGGTTGGCACAGGTGTTGGGCCGGAGGAAGGGCCAGATGTAGGACTGGAAGTTGAAGATCTTGTCGGTCCAGACGTAGGATATGAGATAGTGGCTGAGGTAGGGACCGATGTGGGTCCAGATGTAGGACCGGATGTAGGATCTGATGTTGGATCGGATGTTGGACCGGGTGTGGGGCCAGATGTAGGACCGGATGTAGGACCAGATGTTGGACCGGGTGTGGGGCCAGATGTAGGACTGGGTGTTGGACCGGATGTGGGGCCGGATGTAGGTGCTCTCGATGGTCCGAAAGTTGGACCAAGTGTAGGATCACTGGTTGGACCAGACGATGGTCCAAAAGTTGGTTCTGATGTAGGTCTTGCTGTTGGAATATCAGTTGAACTTCTCGTAGGACTCGATGTTGGTCCTAATGTAGGATCTGGTGTTGAAGACGGAGTGGGTCCAGATGTTGGTGTATCATACGTAATTTGTGAGGGTGCTTGAGTTGGAGTTTCTTGTTGCTGGGGTACATTTGAACAAGTAGGAAGCATGGTCGGGTCAGACGGTGTCATAGCTGAAGGCTGACTTGAACAGTACTTGTTACAATGTAATGTGAAGGAGTAGGCAACAAAATTGTCCATGGAAGGTGGTGCTTGACAAGAAGCGCATGTCTGATCAGCAATCTGATTATCGCATAAATGGGCATAAATCTTGATGTCTGCCTGTCCACCAAAGCAGGATGCAGTGTAGTTCTGTTCCCATGACCTATAAACTGACGAAGATGTCTCGCAAACAGCACCAGTTCCCTTAACTTGTCGATTGATTGAGAGTTGAGATATTGGGCCGCTGTAGAAATTTTGTCTAACTTTGAACACGACAAGGTCTTCGTCTGGATCAGTATCAATAATAACAACTGGCAAGCCACTTTTACCAATATCAAAAAGTTGATAGTCTCCACACGTTCTTGGGCCGTTCCCTATCTTGGCATCGAATTTCTCCCTTGAAAAAGTTCTGCACACTTGTGTTGGCCCTTGTGTTGGAGAAGGTGCTACTGACCCGCATGATGGTTCGCTTGTCGGAGCTGTAGTTGGCATCGTCGGTGGAATTGGAGATAAGGTGGGACCTGAGATTGTTCGAGACCTTTTTCTAGCGGTTGGACTAGATGTTTGTGTAGGTTCAGCTGTCGGTCCAGACGTAGGATCTAAAGTTGGCCTTCCTGTAGGACCTGAAGTGGGTCCACTTGTCGGATTTGCTGTCGGAAACGAGGTTGGTCCAGAAGTTGGACCTGGTGTTGGAATGATAGGTTCCACCAATGGGCCAGAAGTGGGTGACGATGTCGGCATCAAAGTTGGTCCACTGGTTGGTCCACTGGTTGGTCCACTGGTTGGTCCAATGGTTGGTCCACTGGTTGGTCCACTGGTTGGGTCCAAGGTAGGTTCAGATGTAGGTCGCAAAGTGGGTTCCAAAGTTAGGGTGGATGTAGGTCCAGATGTCGGACCTGACGTCAGACCTGATGTTGGAGCTGATGTTGGGACGTGTGTTGGACCTGAAGTCGGGCCAGAAGTTGGCTCCGACGTTGGAGACAGAGTTGGGCTTGAGGTCGGGCGATTAGTCGGACCTGAAGTTGGTCTCGACGTAGGACCTAACGTGGGACTTGATGTTGGTCCAGATGTAGGACTTTCTGTTGGTGATGGTGTTGGACTACTAGTAGGCGTCGACGTCGGTCCTCCAGTTGGACTTGACGTTTCCTTGATAGTCGGTTTGCTGCTGGTAGGTGGAGTTTCTATAGTTGGATGACCAGAGAATGTTTCTGTTGGTCCAGATGTCGGGTATTGCGACGGCGCTTCTGTTGGTCCTGACGTTGGGCTTGATGTGGGTCCACTAGATGGAATCATGGTAGGACCAGATGTTGGCCCAGATGTAGGCCCAGAAGTTGGACCGGATGTTGGTACGGGTGTAGCCAAATGAGTTGGACTAGAAGTTGGACTGCTGGTTGGGGCTGGCGATGGAACATTACTGGGTCCTGATGTGAGTCCAGAGGTTGGACCAGACGAAGGACCATCGGATGGGTCACGCGTAATAGAATAGGTTGGACTGGATGTGGGTCCAGAAGTCGGTGCTGAAGTAGGAGTACTAGTTGGAGTGGAAGTTGGCCCAGATGTCGGTCTTGCTGTCGGATCAAATGTAGGTCCAGATGTAGGTCCAGAAGTTGGAGACGGAGTCGGTGCAAAAGTTGTAATAATTGTAGGTTCCTGAGAAGGCTGCTCGGTAGGATGTGTCGTTGGATCCATTGAAGGACTTGATGTGGGTGCAGACGTTGGTCCACTGGTAGGGCTGGAAGTTGGTCCTGATGTAGGACTCTTTGTCGGTAATCGCGTTGGACTACTAGTAGGCGTCAACGTCGGTCCTCCAGTTGGACTTGACATTTCCTTGATAGTCGGTTTGCTGCTGGTAGGTGGAGATTCTATAGTAGGGTGACCAGAAAATGTATTTGTTGGTCCAGATGTTGAGTATGGCGTCGACGCTTTTGTTGGGTATGGCGTCGGTGCTTCTGTTGGTCCTGACGTCGGGCTTGATGTGGGTCCACTAGATGGAATCATGGTAGGACCAGATGTAGGCCCAGATGTTGGACCGGATGTTGGTGCAGGTGTAGTCGAATGAGTTGGACTAGAAGTTGGACTGCTGGTTGGAACTGTTGATGGAACATTACTGGGTCTTGATGTTAGACCAGAGCTTGGGCCAGACGTAGGACCATTGGATGGGTCGTGTGTAGTAGAATAGGATGGACTGGATGTGGGTCCAGAAGTCGGTACTGAAGTAGGAGTACTAGTTGGAGTGGAAGTTGGCCCAGATGTCGGTCTTGATGTTGGATCAAATGTAGGTCCAGATGTAGGTCCAGATGTAGGTCCAGATGTAGGTCCAGATGTTGGCGCTGATGTTGGCGAAGATGTTGGCACAGATGTTGGCGAAAATGTAGGTCCGGAAGTTGGAGACGGAGTCGGTGCAAAAGTTGTAATAATTGTAGGTTCCTGCGAAGGCTGCTCAGTAGGATGTGTTGTTGGATCCATTGTTGGACTTGATGTGGGTGCAGTTGTGGGTGCAGTTGTTGGTCCACTGGTAGGGCTGGAAGTTGGTCCTGATGTAGGACTGGAAGTTGGTCCTGATGTAGGACTCTTTGTCGGTAATGGCGTTGGACTACTAGTAGGCGTCAATATCGGTCCTCCAGTTGGACTTGACGTTTCCTTGATAGTCGGTTTGCTGCTGGTAGGTGAAGATTCTATAGTAGGGTGACCAGAGAATGACTTTGTTGGTCCAGATGTCAAGTATGGCGTCGACGCTTTTGTTGGGTATGGCGTCGGATCTTCTGTTGGTCCTGATGTCGGGCTTGACGTTGGGCTTGATGTGGGTCCACTAGATGGAATTATGGTAGGGCCAGATGTAGGCCCAGATGTAGGCCCAGAAGTTGGACCGGATGTTGGTGCAGGTGTAGTCGAATGAGTTGGACTAGAGGTCGGACTGCTGGTTGGAACTGTTGATGGAACATTACTGGGTCTTGATGTTGGACCAGAGGTTGGGCCAGACGTAGGACCATCGGATGGGTCACGTGTAGTAGAATAGGATGGACTGGGTGTGGGTCCAGAAGTCAGTGCTGAAGTAGGAATACTAGTTGGAGTGGAAGTTGGCCCAGATGTTGGTCTTGCTGTTGGATCAAATGTAGGTCCAGATGTTGGCGCAGATGTTGGCGAAGATGTTGGCGCAGATGTTGGCGAAGATGTAAGTCCAGAAGTTGGAGACGGAGTCGGTGCAAAAGTTGTAATAATTGTAGGTTCCTGCGAAGGCTGCTCAGTAGGATGTGTTGTTGGATCCATTGAAGGACTTGATGTGGGTGCAGACGTTGGTCCACTGGTAGGGCTGGAAGTTGGTCCTGATGTAGGACTCTTTGTCGGTAATGGCGTTGGACTACTAGTAGGCGTCAATATCGGTCCTCCAGTTGGACTTGACGTTTCCTTGATAGTCGGTTTGCTGCTGGTAGGTGAAGATTCTATAGTAGGGTGACCAGAGAATGACTTTGTTGGTCCAGATGTCAAGTATGGCGTCGACGCTTTTGTTGGGTATGGCGTCGGATCTTCTGTTGGTCCTGATGTCGGGCTTGACGTTGGGCTTGATGTGGGTCCACTAGATGGAATTATGGTAGGGCCAGATGTAGGCCCAGATGTAGGCCCAGAAGTTGGACCGGATGTTGGTGCAGGTGTAGTCGAATGAGTTGGACTAGAGGTCGGACTGCTGGTTGGGACTGTTGATGGAACACTACTGGGTTTTGATGTTGGACCAGAGGTTGGGCCAGATGTAGGACCATCGGATGGGTCACGTGTAGTAGAATAGGATGGACTGGATGTGGGTCCAGAAGTCGGTGCTGAAGTAGGAGTACTAGTTGGAGTGGAAGTTGGCCCAGATGTAGGTCCAGATGTAGGTCCAGATGTTGGCGCAGATGTTGGCGCAGATGTTGGCAAAGATGTTGGCAAAGATGTTGGCAAAAATGTAGGTCCAGAAGTTGGAGACGGAGTCGGTGCAAAAGTTGTAATAATTGTAGGTTCCTGTGAAGGCTGCTCAGTAGGATGTGTTGTTGGATCCATTGTTGGACTTGATGTGGGTGCAGACGTTGGTCCACTGGTAGGGCTGGAAGTTGGTCCTGATGTAGGACTCTTTGTTGGTAATTGCGTTGGACTACTAGTAGGCGTCAATATCGGTCCTCCAGTTGGACTTGACGTTTCCTTGATAGTCGGTTTGCTGCTGGTAGGTGAAGATTCTATAGTAGGGTGACCAGAGAATGACTTTGTTGATCCAGATGTCGGATATGGCGTCGACGCTTTTGTTGGGTATGGCGTCGGATCTTCTGTTGGTCCTGATGTTGGGCTTGACGTTGGGCTTGATGTGGGTCCACTAGATGGAATCATGGTAGGGCCAGATGTAGGCCCAGATGTAGGCCCAGAAGTTGGACCGGATGTTGGTGCAGGTGTAGTCGAATGAGTTGGACTAGAGGTCGGACTGCTGGTTGGAACTGTTGATGGAACATTACTGGGTCTTGATGTTGGACCAGAGGTTGGGCCAGACGTAGGACCATCGGATGGGTCACGTGTAGTAGAATAGGATGGACTGGATGTGGGTCCAGAAGTCGGTGCTGAAGTAGGAGTACTAGTTGGAGTGGAAGTTGGCCCAGATGTCGGTCTTGCTGTCGGATCATATGTAGGTCCAGATGTAGGTCCAGATGTTGGCGCAGATGTTGGCGAAAATGTAGGTCCAGAAGTTGGAGACGGAGTCGGTGCAAAAGTTGTAATAATTGTAGGTTCCTGCGAAGGCTGCTCAGTAGGATGTGTCGTTGGATCCATTGTTGGACTTGATGTGGGTGCAGTTGTGGGTGCAGTTGTTGGTCCACTGGTAGGGCTGGAAGTTGGTCCTGATGTAGGACTGGAAGTTGGTCCTGATGTAGGACTCTTTGTTGGTAATTGCGTTGGACTACTAGTAGGCGTCAATATCGGTCCTCCAGTTGGACTTGACGTTTCCTTGATAGTCGGTTTGCTGCTGGTAGGTGGAGATTCTATAGTAGGGTGACCAGAAAATGTCTTTGTTGGTCCAGATGTCGGATATGGCGTCGATGCTTTTGTCGGGTATGGCGTCGGATCTTCTGTTGGTCCTGATGTCGGGCTTGACGTCGGGCTTGACGTCGGGCTTGACGTCGGGCTTGATGTGGGTCCACTAGATGGAATCATGGTAGGGCCAGATGTAGGTTCAGATGTAGGCCCAGAAGTTGGACCGGATGTTGGTGCAGGTGTAGCCGAATGAGTTGGACTAGAAGTCGGACTGTTGGTTGGGACTGTCGATGGAACGTTACTGGGTCTTGATGTTGGACCAGAGGTTGGGCCAGATGTAGGACCATCGGATGGGTCACGTGTAGTAGAATAGGATGGACTGGATGTGGGTCCAGAAGTCGGTGCTGAAGTAGGAGTACTAGTTGGAGTGGAAGTTGGCCCAGATGTAGGTCCAGATGTAGGTCCAGATGTTGGCGCAGATGTTGGCGAAGATGTTGGCGCAGATGTTGGCGAAGATGTAGGTCCAGAAGTTGGAGACGGAGTCGGTGCAAAAGTTGTAATAATTGTAGGTTCCTGCGAAGGCTGCTCAGTAGGATGTGTCGTTGGATCCATTGTTGGACTTGATGTGGGTCCAGACGTTGGTCCACTTGTAGGGCTGGAAGTTGGTCCAGATGTAGGATCCGATGTTGGTCCAGATGTAGGACTGGAAGTTGGTCCAGATGTAGGACTCTTTGTCGGTGATGGCGTTGGACTATTAAAAGGCGTCGATGTCGGTCCTTCAGTTGGACTTGGTGTTACCTTGATCGTCGGTTTGATGCTTGTAGGTCGAGATTCCATAGTGGGGTGACCAGATAATGTCTCTGTTGGTCCAGATGTCGGGTATGGCGACGGCGCTTCTGTTGGTCCCGAAGTAGGGCCCGATGTTGGCACAAACGTTGGGCTCATCGTGGGACCCGATGTTGGCACAAATGTTGGGCTCGACGTAGGACCCAACGTGGGCCCACTCGAAGGCGTCATAGTTGGACCAGATGTAGACCCAAGTGTAGGTCCAGGTGTAGGCCCAGAAGTTGGACCGGATGTTGGTGCAGGTGTAGTTGAATAAGTGGGGCCAGACGTAGGACTACTGGTCGGCACCGGTGATGGGACATCAGTGGGTGCTGATGTAGGGCCCAAGGTCGGACCTGAAGTTGGACCGGATGTTGGACCTTCAGTTGGTATCATTGGTTCCAATGATGGTTCATGTGTAGGCTCTGCAGTTGGTGACAACGTAGGAGATAGCGTTGGACCTTCGGTTGGGGAGAAAGTTGGACTCGATGTTGGTCGTGATGTAGGACTGAATGTAGGACTAGATGTGGGACCAGACGTTGGACGAGATGTCGGGCCAGATGTTGGACCAGATGTTGGACCAGATGTCGGTTCGGATGTCGGTTCGGATGTTGGACCAGATGTTGGAGCAGGTGTAGTTGAATGAGTTGGGTTTGAGGTTGGACTATTGGTAGGCACACGCGATGGGACATCAGTAGGTGCTGAAGTAGGTCCAGTGGTTGGTTCGCTTGTAGGACTAGATGTTGGAACCGAAGTAGGACTAGAGGTTGGGTTGCTCGATGGACTCTGGGTCGGACGAGGAGTTGGGTTTTTGGTAGGAGCATCTGTTGGGTGCAATGTATCACTAGCGGTTGGTGCCGAAGTTGGAACGAAGGTGGGGCTTGATGTTGGTCCAGAAGTAGGAGCGAAAGTTGGACTGAAAGTTGGTCCGGAGGTAGGAGAAAGGGTTGGGCTGGCTGTAGGACCAGAAGTTGCTGCGTTTTTGGTCGGGCTATCCGTGGGTGTTGCCGTTGGAATATCAGTGGGAGATAGCGTTGGACCAGTAGTTGGAGCAAAAGTTGGACTAAAAGTTGGACCGGAAGTGGGAGAAAGCGTAAAAACTCTTTCGATTTCATTGCCATCGGCATCGTATACAGGTTCATCCATTCCACAGATGTTACAAGCGATCTTGATCTTGTAGCGACAGACATCACTTTGGGGATCCCATCCGTCACATACCACCTCGTTTTCCGCCGTCATTGTGATTGCAACATATACATCAATAGTGGCATACCCATCAAAACAAAGCGACGTGAAAAAGTCACTCTTGGCTCCAGTAGTCAGCGAAAATTTTCCCGAACTAGCAATTCCACCGCTGTCGCCGCCGCGATAGATGACTTGCATCCAGATAATGTCATGAGCCATCCAGTTTTGAAGACTGTATACGATTTTGCCGTCTGCGCTGAAATGAACTTGCAAAGCAGCTGTATTGAACCCTTCTCCACCACAGTCTCGTTCAATGCTAGCGGCATTCTCCTTGCGGACGCAAGATGAGGGAAGGCCATTATCGGACAGAGCTAGAGTGGTAGAGGAAGCTCCAGTATCTGGCAATGTTTTGGCACAGTCTCCAGTGGGTGTGGATACTCGCCACCAACACTCTGTGCCGGCTGCAAAATCGGAACATGTCCTTTCTTTGGAGGCGGAGCATTCGGCCAAAGAATGTTCACCCACTCGAAAGGATTCGTATCCAGTACATTTTTTCCCATCTTGCAAGAGAAATCTGGCATCTTCTCCTTTGGGTACGTATAAACACATGCTTTCTTTATTATGAAAAGGAGCAATCTCTTTGGAATCCCATCCGCCATTGTCCTTTTCGTTACGGCCGCACCCAGTTGTATCGTCACCCGTATCACAGGCATGGCTAATGGCTCCCTTCTTTTGGCAACCTTCTAAACTAGTGTCGTATTGCAAACAGACCTTCCAAAGACATGCGAATTCGCCCTCATTACATGATTTGTTGTCTGGTGCTTCTTCCACGGTAAACGAGATACAATCTCGTTGCAACGAACATGAACCCAATGGTTTCCCTAAAGCAAGAGACGGTAATAGGAGAGCCCCACTCCATAGCAGTTGTATAGAATAGGAGAGCTTCATCTTTCCAATTATTGACTAAGGGTGGCTGTTGAATTGATCCTCTCCTTATCGTCTTTGGTTGGAAGTTGATGGTGGTTGTTCTAATAAGTTGGTTCCATAATCCATATTATCAATCTTCGCATATTGGTTGCGCGTTGGCGACCTCGAACTGTCGCTCAACGTCTGCGCCGACATCTAATTAATATGAGTAGTTTACAATTGGCGATGGCAATTACGGATTTATTATAATACTCGTAGGCGCGCGGGAGGGAGACATGCGCGTGATTGGGAAACGGATAGCAATCAGACGAATACGATTAAAACCAGCCGCGTCATCATTCGCCATCTTTTCTGCGGACAAATCCTTATGTTTCCTTGGGATTTATTGCATCTCATCTTTGCCATATATAAACGCGGGAATTTGGCTCATTGTTTAACATTTCGAGCAATATGTGGAGTAGAGAAATCAAGACTACACTTTCATTAATTGAAATTTTAAAGGCAGAAGTCATTCGGATACCGAAAACACACAAAACTCCGTCTTTCCACGGTTCATGTGTCGTGATCAAGACTCCTCTTTAAAACAGTACAGTACTGTGGTAGGTGGGAAGGTGAGAGACCCAAGCTTCTCTCTATCTACATCCCAAGATTTCAACGACCAAAAAAAGGGCAAAGCACTTCCGGCACAAAGCCAAAGCCATCGTCATCCTGAATCATCAAGACTTGCTTGGTAAATGATATCTCGAGGACCGGCAGCTGGGAGCCTGACTACACCTGATAGAACCAACA